CCTGCTGGTTTATGGCAACAGGTTAGTCTACTGAGAAATTTGAAAAGTAAGGACAATAGAGGCATTGCTTCAGACAGTAGCATTTATTCAAGAGATTACATCCTTCCTCTGGTATGTGTTAAAATACTCTGTCTCCTTTAAAAATGAAATAATAACATGAATGGCAGTTGCTTTTGAAAACAGCCTTACTGCCCTAACCGGTTTGGCTCAGTGGATAGAGCGTCGGCCTGCGAACTGAAGGGTCCCAGGTTCAATTCCGGTCAAGGGCATGTACCTTGGTTGTGGGCACATCCCCAGTGGGGGGTGTGCAGGAGGCAGCTGATTGATGTTTCTCTCTCATTGATGTTTCTAACTCTCTAGCCCTCTCCCTTTCTCTCTGTAAAAAAAAAAAAAAATCAATAAAATATATGTTAAAAAAAGAGAAAAAAGAAAATAGCCTTACTTAGCAGGGTAAAAGTGGACCACCCTTTGGTAGTCAAAAGTTGTCTTCTCAAATTTTACTGGTTTACAAACATAGAAAATGTCCCAAGTCTGGAATTCCACGCTGGTTCATTAACCCCTTCCCTATTATGTAGCAGAGAAAACTGAAGCCAGAGAGAGACCTCTCTCTGACTGGCTAGGACAGTGGTTCTCAACCTTTTGGTCCTTTAAATACAGTTCCTCATGTTGTGACCCAACCATAAAATTATTTTCATTGCTTCTTCATAACTGTAATGTTGCTACTGTTATGAATCGTAATGTAAATATCTGATATGCAGGATGGTCTGAGGCGCCCCCTGGGAAAGGGTCGTTCGACCGCCAAAGGGGTCGCGACCCACAGGTTGAGAACCGCTGGGCTAGGAGATGCCTTCCGACATTACTCCCCATTGTCAGATCACGTGGCTCAGTTTTGGGGTTAGTAACAGCACATAACTGGTGTGTATGTAGCACCTGTGCTGAAGCCAGAGGGTGACGCGGGATCATCTCCATCTGTGCCCAGTTCTCACAGGCTGGTTATCTTTGTCCAAACAGATCTCATAGCCTGGCACCTGCTATTTAAAACCACTCTCCTCATCACACCAGCTTCTTCTTTCCTAAAAGCTCGGAAAGGATTTTCAAGTGGCTGGGATGTGTGACTCATTTGTGATCACTGGAGGAACAATTCCTCCTTTCTCCATAACATAGTGTTGTATCGTAAATCAGCCAGTGAGATACAAGATGCCTTAATGAGCCAATTAATTAGGAGTTGTTTATTACGCCTGGCCTAGAGGGAGGTGTTTCTTCCAAATCTCTGAGCGAAGACACAGGGAAGTTTCCTGTATTTATACCTTTCGGGCTCTTTGCAGATTTTACAAAGGGCTTTGTGTGGGTTATTGCTGCAGACAGTTTGTGATCTTGGATACATACAGAACAAACATCTGACACAAGAATATGGGAATTATTATCAGTATTAGTCCATTACGTTAGATGGTTAGCTTGCAAGGTCAGACAGTTAAGTTTTTATCTTTTTCTATTATTCAAACTAAAACAGTTATTCTACAGAATAAGAGACTGCCTAAAAATGACAGAGTTTACAGAACAAGGGACTATCTAACAATAGCAGAGAATTTCAAACAGCAGTTTTTATACAAGATGGAGCTTACTATGCTTCAATAGAGCTTTTTGTTTTTGGGGAAATGTTGGGACCACACCCACCCTTTTGTGAGACTAATTGCAACCAACCTTTCATGCCTTAGGAGATCCATACCTTTTATAAAGACAGAAATGGAAAGGTAGACAGGGTGAACACAGCCATGGGCACTTTACCTGCTCCCTAAGGTGTAGTAGAACAATCGTTAATTACTTCAGCGGATGTTAGGAAACACACACATGCTACATTAAACACTGAGTGAGTCACCCACCTGGTGGAAAAGTTGTTCCCTTTTCTTTCCCTCTCAGTCCTCTGAGTTCATGCCTGGAGGTGTTGAGGTGGGGCTGGCAGGAGCAGGTTCCAGGCTGTGAGCATTCCGTGGGCAAATGCATCCTGTTACAATTTAATAATATTGTTTTCCTTTCATTGTATTTGTTTTCGAAGTTACTTGCTATTCATGACAAGCAATACAGGTTGCTTTTCATTTACAGCAGTGATATGAACTTTCCCTTAAAAATAATGGATTTCTTCTGGATAAAAGTGAATCAAGCCTGACTGGTGTGGCTCAGTTGGCTGAATGTGGCCCCATGTACCGAGAGGCCAGGGCACATGCCCTGGTTGCTGGCTCGATCCCCAGTAGGGGGGTGCAGGAGGCAGCTGATCAATGTTTCTCTTCCTCTCTCCCTCTTCCTTCCTCTCTCTGAAATCAATAAAAAACATATTTTTTTTTAAAAAAGTGAGTCAACTTAAAGAAAACACGTTAGCAAATACTAGTGTTACTGGACAGGGACCTGGCCCAGAGTGGGTCTGCCTCAGGCCAGCTGGTCGTGTGTGGGTTCTTGACTTCATGCAGGGAAGCTTTCACAACTTGAGTCCAGGTGACTTTGAGAGCACTCTTATTCAAGCTGGGGACAGTGAACCAAGGAAGGGGTTAAGGTAGAAGAAGCCACAGGAGGGAGCCTAGGTGGGACTCTGCTTGGCTCACTAGAAGCGTTTTAGGAAAGAAGTGAATCCAGGCCTGCTGCTGTCAGCTCACTGAAAAGTCAGAGAAAGAGGGCCTTGGAGATGGGTTCAGGGGGTGAGCCTGGGATGAGCTGCTGTTGCCCACTGCTCCCCTAGTTGCAGTCTTGTGGGGACCCTTAGAGTTTAGGAGAAAGAAACTACAAAAGCTCATGCCTGGGATAAGGCAAGGGCGTGCTGCTGGGAGATCCCGCACTGGCATCCTTGGTCTTGAGGGTTTTTATCTCCTGCAGGCAAGAATCTTAGGGGAGGGTTTCAGCAGAATATTCATCAGCTTTCCATGTGCATTTTAAATATGCTGATGCATCAAAATGAGCATGTAGGGGAGTGTGGGATTATTCTTTGGTCAGCTTGACTGTTTTGCTTTTATCTTGAGCCTGTCTGGCTCTAGTCAAGTTTTTGTTATTTGTTCCCCTGACTTCATCTGTCCTTGGGTTTGGCGGGCATTAATTGGGACTCTGTTCTCTATCTCCCTGACCAGGGTGATTTAAGCTATTTATTCTCTGTCAGGGAGGAGAGGTAGAAACTATTTGTTTTCAAGTGTCCTTGATTAGGGAAGATCAAGTCTTGCAGTTCACTAGCTGGCTGTAAGCTGCCCAAACTGGTTGGCCTTGTTTAATTTTCTTTTCTCAGTTTCCCCATTCCACTTGCCCAGGAATGTTCCTAGCTTCTTACTATCCTGCCACACTAGGACAGGCATGGGTTATGGCCAAAAATCATGAGGGTGGGCAGAAGTTCGTGGTTTGGGAAAGACTAAATTATTAAGCCACCCTTCCCCCTCGGCATTTTAGTTGTTTTGCTGTTGTCCAACACTTTCCAGACCTACTGTCATGACTGTTTCTTTTTTTGCATGTCAGTCTTTTCAAGGGCAAGAAGTATTCTTTACTTAGCTTGCATTTCCAATGCCGAGCACAATGCCTGGCTTGAAGGAAGTGCTCAAAGTTGAATGAATGAAGGAAGGACAGTTCTTAGCCATTTTCTCACTGAGATCTTACAGCGCCCCATGAGGCAGGAGGAGCAGGTGACTGAGCCATAGATTTAGAATCCCGCTCGAAGTCATGCCGTGAATGAGGGGCTGGGCTTGGGGAGTCCAGGCTTCACCCCACAGTATCAGGGATGAGTGGAGGGTCGCTCTGGATCAGTGGGGGCAGGGAGCAGTGGCTTCACTTTGAGTCATCCTATGTTTTTAGGGATCCTGCCACAGACCAATGACCCTCTTTGGTGGGGACTAAGGTGATTCAGGAGACCTCTGCAGGGTCCCTCTGTCCCCACCAGACCAGTATCCTAAGACCCTAATTTCTCGAAGGCTGGGTCGAATTGGGGCCTTGCCTCCAGGGCTGTCGGGAATTTGAAGCAAATGGGAGCCAGTTTGAGGCTCTGTGTTTGAGCCACACTGTGAACCCACCCATCTCTGTCTTCGATTGTTTCAGGCTCAGCGATGCTGCTCTTCCTGGCCATGCCCATGCTTTCCGTCGGGGGAATCCTGTTTCTGATGACCAACCTGCAGGTGGAATCCTGCCCACATCCCGGGCACCTGGCGGGAGGCTGGAGAGGGATGAGGGCATCGAAACACTTTTCCACATCAGCTGCCTCAACAGTGGGCTGGCCCATGCCAGGGTGGTGGCTGCTGGGTGGAAGGTGGTCTGGGGTATAACGATGGCCTGGCACAGGCTGGGCGCACATTGCTTCCATGAATACATAGGTGACTCAGGCTGGTCATATGTTCTCCAGGTTGGGAACTTATTTGGCAAACACCGCTCGACCATCATCACCCTCTACAATGGAGCATTTGACTCTTCTTCGGCCGTCTTTCTCATCATTAAGGTAAAAATGAGCACCAGCCAAGCTTTATTGAACACTTACATATGCCGGACATCTATCTAGTACACTTTGCATGATTCCTCTCCATCATCCCTTCTGCAGCTTGAGATGTGACATTTGAGCTTGAAAACAGGCCTGTCTGGTTGTAGAGCCTGAGCTTATAACCCTTCAGCCCCCTTTTTAAACTTAACATAGGATTTTGGGCAGAAGCGAAGGGAAGGCATGGCTATGATGTGCTTGGGTCAGTGTTGGGCATAGGGTGGGATCCCTTTGCAATGGGGTATTTGCACCGGTGAGCCTCTTGGTTGGACAAGGAGGTGGGAGGTGGCTAGAAGAGACTGCAGGAGCAGGCACAGAGGCCTCTCCAGCTCTCCTAGAGGCTAATGCTGGGGGTTCAGGAGGATGGGTTGTTGCCAGGCTATTTGTGGCCCATCCAATAGCCATTCCACCTTCTTCACTGCGCTAATGATTTCATCTGGGCAGTGAAGTGCCAAGCCCAGGGGATGAATCTTGATTGATCTAAATCACTGACAATCCCTTTCCCCCATTAGTGGGGGAAGAGATGGTCTTAGTTAATGAGATGAAGGGGATACTTCTCTCTCTGATGGAAGGTGAGAGCAGAGCAAAAAGAAAGCCTTTCTCCTTGGTTCCCTTCCCACCCTTCCTCTTTGTATGCGGATGTGATAGCTGGAATTGTGGCAGCCATGCTGTGATTATGAGGCAACTAGCTGCAGGACAAAAGTTAGTACACTAAGAGTGAGTGGAAAGAATGAGAGTGTGAGTCTTTGACACCCCAACCTGCCAAACCTGGCACTTCCCTTTGGGCTTTGGGTTAGGCTAGAGGCAAAGCCTGTGGGCCATGGGGGAAAATTAGGAGGATCTCTGGGAGTCACCGCCCAGACATGAGACTAGCTTAGTCCCATGAGCACCTTGGCTTGAAGGGTCACCTAAAGACTGAGTCTCTGGGGTACTTACTCAAGCCTTCCTACGTCTGGTTTAAGAGCCACTTTCTGAGTTGACCCTCCTTCCCCTGGATGTGCCTCCCTTCCTCTCCTCCCTCCTTAGTGTTGGAAGAAGAGAAAGGGCCAGAGCAAGAGCTGGAGTTCTTAGTGCACTCTGACCTTGCTGCTACTTACTCTGACCTTGAGCAACTCATTGCTCCTCTCTGGATGTCACTTTTACCCTCTGTAAAATGAGGGAGTTGGGCTAGATTAATGGTCTTTAAACTAAGTGTTGAGGAATATTGAAGGGCTCCCTTTGATGTTATGCCGTTCACCAAGGAGAATGAGGGAAGAATGATTGGGACGCTCTCTACGGATGTGTTTCATGAGTTGAATTTTTATGTATAATTTCGTTTGGACAAAAAAGACTTTGTTGCTATTGAAAAAAAAAAAAAGCTCTGGGTTAGAAGGCCCCCAAGAAGCCACACTTGGAGGCTCTAAAAGGCTGTGGGAATGGTGGCATGTTGCTTCCTCTGCTGCTGGTTGAGCCTCAGGGTGAGGGTGAGGCTATGTGTGTACCAGGTCCCCTTGGTCAACTTCCAGGATGGAGGGCAAGAAGACTTATTCTTGGAAATAGGGATCTCTGCCCTTTCTTCTTCTTCTCTTTTTAAAATATATTTTTATTGATTTCCAAGAGGAAGGAAGAGGGAGAAAGAGATAGAAACATCAATGATGAGAGCACATCGATTGACTGCCTCCTGCACGCCTCCTACAGGGGATCCAGCCTGCAATCCGGGCATGTGCCCTGACCGGGAATCAAACTGTGACCTCCTGGTTCATAGGTCAATGTTCAACCATCAAGCCACACCAGCAGGGCTGCCCTTGCTTCTTACAATGACATTTTTTTTTTGTATGACAAAATATGTATAACATAAAATTTACCATCTTAGCCATTTTTAAGGGTTCTGTTCAGTGGCATTAAGTTATCTCATATTGTTGTACAACCATCACCACTATCTATCCCCAGAACTCTTTTCAACCTTGTAAAACTGAAACTCTGTACCCATTAAACAATAACTCCCTGCTCCCCCTCCACCTGGCAACCACCATTCTGTTTTATGTTCCTGTGAATTTGGCTACTCCAAGTACCTTATATAAGTGGAATCACATAGTATTTGTCCTTTTGTGACTAGCTTATTTCACTTAGCATAGTGTCCTTAGGGTTCATCCATGTTTTAGCATGTGGCGGAATTTTCTTTCTTTTTAAGGCTGAATAATATTCCATTGTATGTATAACCACAGTTTATTTATCCATTCATTTGTGGATGGACACTTGGGTGCTTCCATCTTTCGGATGTTGTGAAAACTGTTGCTGTGAACATGGGTGTTACACTAAGTTTTTCCTCCTTTTTTCTGCAGCTCCTTTATGCAAAAGGCATCAGCCTCAGGGCCTCCTTCATCTTCCTCTCTGTCTGCAGTGTGTGGCATGTTGGGCGTACTTTCCTCCTGATGCCCCGGGGGCACATCCCCTACCCACTGCCCCCCAACTACAGCTATGGGTAAGGACTGTTGATCTGGTGATTGCTGGCTGGAGCCCCTCAGGTGACCTGAGGTAGGAAGCTGGGGGTGGGACAGACATGGTGATAGTAGAGCAGAGGAAACCTGTCACAGAAGAGGAAGACTAGAACAGGGGTGTATTGGTTAGCTATTGCTGCATAACAAACAACCCCAAAACTCAGTGGTTTAAAATATTAAGCATTTATTCTTTTTCATAAGTCTGTGGGTAGTTGGCTAGTTTATCTGATCAGTAGACTAGCCGGGGGCTGGCTGGTCTGGATGGCGGTCATTTATGGTGACAGGGAGGTTTGGGTCACCTGGCTCTCATCCTCCAGCAGGCTAGCTTGGGCTTGCTCACATGGTGGTTCCAGGGTTCGAGAGAGGTTTCCTAAAGTTGAGAGTTGGAATTGGTACTACATTGTGTCTGCTTCGTCTTCTTGGCTGACGCTGCTGACAAGGCTGGCCCCAGGCTGGCTCAAGGGGTAGGGAACAGTTGGAGCTGCAGTCCCATTGCACAGGGTGGGGAACAGAGGAGGTGAAGGAAAATGCGACTGTTTGTAGTCCATCACCACCAACAGCAGAGGGAGGGCACGCGTTTGCCGCTCACTTACTAATTGCAGACGCTTGTGCTCTCTGACTTGGTCTCTCGAACATCCTATCAGTTATATATCCTCTTCTCCATTTTCCAAATGGGAAAATGGAAGCTCAGAAGGGTTAAGTAGGAGCCATGTTGCCAGCTAGGAAGAGGCAGAGCTAGGATTTGAACCCAGGCCTGTTTTACTCTTCCCACACTTCCCAAACTTTGCTGCACATGAGAATCACTGCAATCACTTGGGAATCTTTGAAAAACATGGAAACTTGGCTTTCATGCCCAGGCATTCTGATTTCACTGGCCTGGGCTGCGACCTGGGCATTGGGGTTGGTGAAAGGTGATTCCAATGTGCAGTGACATTGGAAATCCACTTCACTGTGTCCTCCAGCCTGAACCCCAGGCTCTGCTCACAATTGTTGGGCTGGTGGGGCTTCTATTTCAACAGCCTGTGCTCTGGGACTGGCACCAGAGAGAAGAAGAAGACAGCCACGTCCAAAGAGCTGGACCTACAGGCTAAGGAGTTCCTGCCACCAAAGGAAGGTGAGCCCTGCTGGGTAAGCCATTTCCCCTTCAGCGCCTGCCTTTCCCTGCAGTTGACCTGGCCTCTCACCTCCAGAGCTTCCCCAGGTCTCAGAGTCAGGAAAGGCAGGTGGAGAAGGACCTTAGGATCCAGAGAGTCCAGAGAGATGCAAGACTTTTTTCTTCTCCGTTTTTCTGTTCCTCTTTTCTCATCTCCTCATCTCCCTTTCTCCCCTAAAGTCAGTCTTCGATCATTGCCGTCCTTCCCCCTAACTTCTTAGTCCCAAGTTGGCTTATTTGTCCCTATTTCTGCAGATCCCCTGGGTCTGCCCTCTCTCACTGTCCCATCTCCATTGCCACCTCCTTTCCCTCCTCTGTCTGTTTTGGGTCTTTGGTATAATCATCACCAACCACTGCTGGCTAAGGTAGAAACAAGAATAAGATTCTGGGAAGCTCACAAAATCAAGGGAAAATGAACTTGCCAGGCTCCAGGAAGAGCAGAACCAGGGGTCCTAGTCTAACCTCACAGTCTGCTTCTTCAGGAAGAATGATTGATTGGTTCACCTTGGGTGAGGCACAGAACACAGGACTCATGGTCCCATCAGATCACGAAGAACAGGGCAGGAGAGTTTTCCAGAAGAAACCTGGATCCTGGGACCAAACAAAAGGGGGGCGGGGGATGGGGAACAGGCAAAATAGCAGCTGTCAACCACTAACCTTCTGCTCATCTCTACCGTTCTCCTCTCCTTGTCTTTCTGTTCACCACCCTGGCTGAAAAAGAGTGATATAAAGTGTCAGTGCAAAAAGTGGTGTTGAATCCAAGCTATGAAAGACAGATGAGATTTCAACAGACAGAGAACAAGAGAGGGTCATTCAAGGTGGTAGAGCTGATGACAAAGGCTTAGAGGTGGGGTTGTGTGAGTTGCAGGCAGCTTGGACTGCTCGCCGGATGAGTTCTAGAAGGCCAGAAGAGAAGGCAAACTTGAACCTCAGGCGGTCCCAATAGGGCCTCTCCATTCTTGGCCACCCCAGCCTTCCACTTGCCTTGTAATTCATGCCAGACCCTCCTTTCCCGACAGAGATCCCAGGACCAGGGCAGCTGGATGAACCCCGTTCTTTCAAGAGCTCTGTTTTCTCCCGGCGCTTTGCCTGGCACCTGGTGTGGCTGTCTGTGATACAGTTGTGGCATTACCTCTTCATCGGCACCCTCAACTCTCTGCTGACCAACTTGGCCAGTGGGGACAGGGCTCTGGGTATGTGGCAGGGCTGGGGAGGCAGCCCACACTGCATATCCCGCTGGGGACTTGGAACCTCGAGGGTGTGGGGTGCTAAGCTCAGCGGGGCTGTGTGCTCCAGAGGGAGATCTGAGTAGGGGTATGGGGAGGAGGATCAGGCTGGGGAAGGGCAGGGGGAGAAGAGTCCTCCCTGTAAGAAAGTTCTGGAAATTTCTTACCATCCAACCCCCCTCTGTCCTCTGCAGTCAGCAGCTACACAAATGCCTTTGCCATCACTCAGTTCTTTGGAATGCTCTGTGCCCCCTGGAACGGCCTGCTCATGGACCGGCTTAAGCAGAAGTACCAAAAGGAAGCGAGAAAGACGGGTGAGAACTGGGCTCCCGAGGATCAAGGAGCAGGAGGGGAGAGGTCTTCATTGACCTCCATGCCCATCTTCTCTTTGTTCTTAATCTTTTTGTACTTGAATCCATCCATCCATCTACTCACCCACTAGTCATTGAGTGCCAATGATGAGCCAGCCACAGTTCCAGATACAACAATGGACGAGGCAGATACGACCTTGTTGTTAAGCTGTACTCACTCTAGAGATTGGAGAAAGGCAAGTGTCAGTGCCTTTGTGTTATTGGGACACAAAGAAGGGCACATGACCTGGTCCAGGAGAGGATGGAGTTGGTGTCAGGGAAGGCTTCCTGGAGGAAGTGGCATCTGAGCCGGGACCTGAAGGATGAGTAAGAAGTGAGGAGTGAAGAGGAGGGTCCTGGAAGTGGCCCAAGAATGTAGTGGGGTTAAGATGGTGAAGGAGAGAGCAAAACATTGAAGAATCTGGGGAATTCCAGAAAGTGATTCAGACGTGCCAGGGCACAGAGTGCTGGAGAGTGATGGGAAAGGGTTGGAGGGAGAGAAGTAAGAAAGGGCAGGCAGAACACCAGGCCAAGGAGCTGGCACAGGATCCTTGGATGTGTTGGAGGAAGAGAGGAGCACTGAGGTATATTAACCCGTGGAGGTCGGGGGTGGGAGAGATTAAAGTAGAGTAACTGTTCTACACCCCTCCCCCACTTCCTGTCACTGCCCCTCTCCTACCCCAGCTGGGTGGAGTCTGTGAAAGCAAGTTTCAGACATCAAATCATTTTATCTGTAAACACTTCAGTTCATATCGCTAACAAATGAGGCCTCTCTTACTCACACATCCCCATAATATCATTATCACCCCCCAAACACCCAGTAGTTTCTTACTATCATCTAATAAGCAGTTCTGTTCAGATTTCCCCAGTTGTTTCAAATAGGTCTTTTTACAGTTGGTTTGTTCAAATTAGGGTCCAGAGTGTATTTTTTTTATTCCAAGAAAAATAATCTTTTTTATTTTATTTATTTATTTATTAAATTCTTTATTGTTCAGATTATTACATTTGTTCCTCTTTTTTCCCCCATAACTCCCCTCCTCCCAGTTCCTGCCCCACCCAGCCCTCACTCCCCACCC